TCAAAGCTGTTGTGCGCTTTTATTTCTCTAGGATGCCACAGTTTGTTTAAGGAATGATAAGCACATAGGGCAGTGTTGCCTCCTGGAAAATGAAGGCTGGCCCAGTGAAAGAAAAGGAAGTTTTGTAACGCTGATGTGGGAAGGAGCTGGCTTTGCAAGGTCATGCTGGGAGCTGTGTGCAAGGACTGGTGGCCACATGTGGCCAGACAAAGGACTTGCAGTAGGATGCTCTGGTGGGGTCAGCACAAGAGAAACTGCAGTTTTCTTACAGCCCAAAGTGTTTATTGCAGAACTAGGAGGGGTTGGGCTTGTGCCTTTTGTGGGTGTATTCAGGAGGATAAAAACTGATTGCTGGATGAGTAACAAAAAGGTGAAAGTAGCATAACCACACCAAAAGATATGACCTAAGTCAAGTACCTGAAACATCAGGCTTTGTACAGTAACAAAAAATAACCTGTCTGCAGGCAGGGGCAGACTGGCATTGAAATATGGCTATTTATACTTTGTTATAAAAGTTAACCGCTTTTTCATTCTACAGAGCACCTCATGAAGACCAGCAGCTTTCCCTGGCTCCTCGTTTGGGGCTGCCACTGTGCCAGGCTTTTGTAGAGTTTGAAAATGGGAATTGTGACAAAGCTGTAGATCTGCTCTACCCAATCCGTTACGAACTCGTCCAAGTGGGAGGCAGTGATGCTCAGGTAAAGCAGATCCAGAAAAGACTTTTTGATGTGACTCAGTCCCTTCTCAGCAGCCACCATGAAGCACTTACCTCATTCAGTCAAACACTGAAAAGCTGAACTCTGCTTGTGACTGAATCCTGTTTGCAAACACTTACTAGCAGGATTAGCTATTTATTTTTAATGTTGATTTGTTTCCTTCCTGTGAATTTAATAGTTTGGTAACCAAGACACTGTAACCAGCCATACATTATAAATTACTTACTAGTTGGTATTTTCCTGGTTTTTTTTCCAGAGAGATGTTTTCAGCCTGTTATTGATTCATGCTGCTTTAAATTCTAAATCAAAGGCCAAACAAAACCTTGCAAGGTGAGTATTTCCCCTGATAAATATTTGTGGAAGTAGCACTGTTGCTAAAAGTAAGGAGTAATGAATATACTCTAAAAATAAGAAGTAATGAATATATTCAAACCACTAAATTTCAGGCTAAAATTTTGTGTTAAATGTAGCAACATTTAACCAGGATAAAAAGTACAATAGCTTCCAATTCCAAAAGTCCACTCTCTCAGCCTGGATGGATGATCTGTGTATGTTCAAGGGTAGTTGATTTTCAATGGTTCTGGATTTTCCAATGGTTCTGTCTTCAACTATAGCCTGTTGACCATGTGTGAACTGCAACTGCAGTCAGTGCCACTGCTGACATCTGCTTTGCTGGGGTCAGAGGTGTTCTCTGCCACGTGTGCTTGCCCCTCAGCACAAAGCACAGCCTGTTTAGCAGAACAGTCCACATTTATCACCCACTGCTCACCCTCCTGCCTCTCCTTTCCCAGGTGTCTCCTGCATGAACGGGACCTGCTGAGACCCAAGTCACCAATGACCGAGCGACTGATCAGGAAGGCAGCAGCTGTGCATTCCATGGCATAGGGCTTTCCTCCAGCTTCAGCTGGAAGAGCCAGGAGCTTTCCACAAAGCCTGGGAGCAGGGAGTGCAGGGGTGCTGTGAAGGAATTCAGGGAGGTACTCAAGCTTAAAAGATTTGAGAATTATTTCCTTAAAAAAAGACAGCTGTTGCATTTCTGGAGGTTGTGCCTTAGATGATTCCACAAGGAAAGAAGAAAACTTGCTGATAATGCAAGCAAAACTTGCTGACAAAGCTTTCTGGAGCATCCCAAAGGCACTGCTGCTCTGGTATGTTTTCCTGAACATTCCCTCTGGCTCTGATTGTACACAGTGCAGTAACGGTGCCTGGGTTCCAGTCCTTCTTTGGCCCAGCTTGTTAACTTGCCCTACATGTGAATTTAAACTGCTCAGGTAATTCAAAGGGAGCTTTGAAATAAAGCTAATAGGAAGATGCAGGGCCAGAACCAGTACAGGCATGAACTGAATTCCATATTGAGCTTCCAGCCCATGCAGGCAGGAGTCACAGATCTGTCTGCATTCAGGATCTCGTTCCAGGTGTACATTTTTAAACTCTGTCTCATAAAATGTTAAAGTTTTCTCCCAGCTCTCCTGGCCTCACAGGCCTGCCCCTCCTTCCTGTCCAGCTCAGGCTCTTCCCCATGTCCCACAGCAGCCTTGTCCTGCAGTTTCCTTTTGACCTAAGAAGGCACTTCCATAGCTGGCCCTGCACTGCCCCTGGAGTTCCTGCATCGTGGAACAAGAGGTGGAAGTGCTTTGCTGATATTTTGCTTTACCCAATCCTCCCCTGATGCAGAAATAGCTTATTTTTAAAGGAAGAATAATAAAACCATGTAAGGGATTGCATTCCTTGCCTTCAGGTGTTCAGGTTGGTGAGCATGCTGTTCTTCAGCAGACAGCTTGTCTGCTCAGCCATGGTGGGGATGACTCACTTGGGACACCTTAGTGGATTTTAACTATTATTTTTAATAAGTGCACTTCAGACAATGACTTTAGACAGGTAACTTTTTACTAGAGGAATGTAACAAATTTTGAAAGGAACAAAAGCCTGAGAAAGCTCTGGCTGGCTATGCAGAGTGTGATCAATGTAATCAATGACAGCTCTACTTTCAATAGAACACGATTGAGAATTTTGTCTGCTTTGCTTTAATAAAGTCAAAGATGATCTTTGTTAAGCAAGCAAGTACATGACTTCTTTGCATGTGTGAAGCTTTTAAATGTGTTCTTCAGCCTAATTTCATGGATGTGTAGCAGTGTGCACCCACTTTGTTTCCACCACAGTGGCCAGAAGCACGCAGCAGTGGAGAGCAGCGGCATCTGTGCTCGCACAGGTCACAGCCCAAGCGTTAGGAGGAGGCTGAGGTGCCACAAGGTGGGTGAACCATTGTTTCTCTCTCATCCTCCTGCATTCAGAGTATGCATTTTCCAGCTTTTCTCCCCCTTCAGCTCAGTTACCCAGACTGCAGCTCTCCCCCCCAGTCCAGCCCTCTGATGGAAAAGCCAAAGCCTTGTGCACCAGAGAGCTGCATCCATCCCTGCTGCAGGGTGGGTTGGACCATGAACAGCTCTGCAGTTCCTGTACTGCTGTGTCCTCACTCTGTGTGTGGTGCTCTGGACTGATCCTAAGCTGTCAGCATCTCACTGGCACCCTCCCCACCCAGGCATGGGGCTTTCTCCAGGTGCCTGATTTAGAGTCTTTCAAAGTTACTCATCTGCATATTAAAGAAGTACATCCCTAGAACCTCTCAGTACCTCACTATTTTGAGATTTAAAACCAACAGTTCTGCCACTACCTCACTTAATTCTTTTACCTTTTCTTAGGACTTCATTAACTGCTCAGAGCAGCTGTTTAATTACATGAAATCTAACCAAACTACCCCATCACTTTAATATTAAACATCTCCTAGTTAGGAAGTTCATTTACAGAAATATTCTCTCCTTAGCAATTAGCTAAACACCCACCCTACCACAGCAGTCCAAGTGTGCAATTCCCTGATATAGAAACAACAAATGAACACAGGGAATGCAGGCAGGGGCTGGTTCACTCAGCATATTTAGTCTTGCCATGTTTATGTAAAGACAAACTGCACACTGAAAGTGCCTGAACACAGGTTTTATTTGCAAATACAACAAGCTCAGTAATTCAGGAATTCTACAGGCAAATAAGAGAAAGAAAGATCTTTAAAAGTGATAAAATCTTTACCACATGTTTTCATTTAGCTTTAAGTAATTTCAGTAAGATTTTCTGGATTTATCTTTTCTGTTATTCTTGGGAAGAACTTGCTGTCTTTGAGTGATTGACAGATTTCTATCACAGATGCAAAAACCTTAGAGGCTATTGGCTTTCTGTAAAACTTATCTGAAATAAAAATTACTGCTCCTCTGTCCTCAGTCCCAGCTTCCCTCTGAACAGCTAAAACTGCCTGAATATGGCATTTTGTACAGAGGGCCTTCAGTTTGATCCACCTACAGACTCCCTGCTAACATCCAGTAGAAATTGCAGAGGTTTCTGACCCAGGATCACCCCCAAACCAAAAAGAGGACCCTCACTTGTCAGCACCCTGCCCCACGCAAGTGGGCAGCAGAACATGCAGACGGTGCCTTGGGACAGCAATTCTACCACTGGCCTCAGGAGAGCCTAACTGGTCTCTCTTGGTCCCATTCTAATCTGGAAAACGAAAATTACTGCACCAACAGGACAGAACATCTCCATGATCCTTAAGGAATTTCTCCTGTCCTACTGTGCTATGTGGACACACCCACTGGAAAGCCTGGCTCATGGGAACACAGCCTTTGTGTCCTTGTGCCATTATCTGCAGCCAAACCACCACATTTTGGTATCTGCTTACTCACATGTGGTGGCTTTCACAGTTTCAGCTGAGCTCTGCTTTTGTGTAGGTTACAGCAAGTAACTGCTCATTTCCATAAGGAATCTGATCCAACAGCTTTCTGATCCATCTGCCATTGTACAGATGAAAATTCTCGAGAACTAACAACATGGATTTACAATATGCTTTTCCTTTTTTTGTTTATCATTTTAACTCAAAACACGTACCAGCATTAACAAGCAGTGCTTTGAAAACAAACTCAAGTCATTATTACCTACACTGAGTTGTTTATAATAATGATAGCTGAGAGGATCAAGAACAGGTGAGTTCTGCACTGAAAAGAATTTCTGGCTACTAAACACCTGACAGCTTCCTTTAAAACTACTGTAGTGTTAATTTTTCTTTCAACTGTTTGCAAAGAGAAGTCCTCTCTATTTTTTTAGACGATGCATTTACAATTATTTGCCCACAGCAGTCATAACATTCAATTTCCCATCCCACAATTCTGATTTTTCTGCTATGGTTATCAAAATGTCTGTGCTTCATTTAAGAGAGGAAGAGAAGATAAGGCAGTCACAACAAATGTAACATCTGCTTTGCCAGCCCTCCTCAATGCAGAAACTGGATTAACATTCTGAAGAACTGTATTAAAAAGAAAAAGGTCACTAAGTAGAACACCTGCAATATGAAAAACAAGATGATGGACACAAACTGCCACGTTCCTCTAAGATATGACACATTTTCTTCCCTCCTCTCTAGACGCTCTTGTTCCTGTCTCTTTTTGCGCACTTGTTCCTGTGTCTTTCTGCACATTTATTCTCTCCTCTCTATACTCTATGATATACTCTGGGTAAATCTGGTGTTTTTCAAAGACAACAAAAACAGCAGGATTGAACTCATTATCCACACAGCTGTCATACAGCCACAGCTTGGCAGCACACTTCATTGGGGGCCGGACGTAGGCAGCGTTGCCTTTCACGTAGTCTCCAACCAGAACACGAGCCACGAACATGGAGTGTCCCTGCAGCGTGGCCTGACAGTAGGTGTGGGAATAGCAAGCATCTCTAGCAAAGTAACTTCCTAGAAAATGAGATGGAAACGTGGGTGTGAGGAGAATCTGTACACTGACCGCAAAATCTGAGCATTCTATGGGTTTTCAGGACTCAACTTTCAGGACTTCTCTTACTCAGTTTACAGAACACCACCGACATTTTTGCAAGAGAGGGGACTGCACTATGTTATTTCCATTCACTATTTGCTATTTCAGGAACCATTTTTAAAAGCTGTACAAATAAGCACACTCCAGGTCTGTGTGTTGTGATGAGAGGGACAGACAAGAAAACATGAGGACCTTCCAAGATCACACTGAAGGCATACACACCCTTCTGCTCCCTGCCATACAAACCAATTTGTAAGTTCAAATTATGATCCCAGACATCAGAAAATGCCACCTACACCAAATCCCAAATCACTAATGCTCTTAACACCTTGTGAGAAGACTTGCCCCCAACCCAAAGCAAATCCTGGCCTCTTCAGAAGCATCATAATACCAATTCTTGTCTTTTTTTTTTCTCCTTCTACAGTTAAAGACTTCAGAACCTTTGACTGCTGCGCTATCAGGGGAGTCTCAGCAGACATCTCACTTTCTACATACCCTTCCCATAGTTAGTTCCATTGCTTCCACAAATTCTCCAGTCAAAGTTCTGACTGCAGACTGTTTCCATAAAGGTGACGTCAGCTCCGTGGAACAGGCGTTTTTCCTGCACTTCCTTTCCTCCATTTTCCTTTTTCATCTTTTCTTTTTGCCTGATAAAAATGAAGGGGAGGAGAATGTGAACCATGGAAGAAAAGGGAAAGTTAGAGCAATGGACTGAGTTCATTGAGAACATACTGTGAACATACTCTGGTGCCCAAAGAACATGTGGCTGCCCCATCCCTCAAAGTGTTCCGGCCAGGCTGGACGGGGCTTGGAGCAACCTGGGACAGTGGAAGGTGTCCTTGTTCTGTGCAGACTGGAAGAGCTTTAAGATCTCTTCCAACCCAAATTACTCCATCATCCTCTGGACTTGGCAATGTTAAACTCTGCCTGCTTAGCTTAATTACCTCATTGGAGGAGGAGAAGAAATATGCACTATTACATGCTTTGAAGTCTCTTATGTTTTGCTAGATGAAAAGGTTTTATGAATCAGTAGCTGATAACTTTCTGGATTCCATCATTTTGCAGGTGAAAGCATTTATTTGAGCAGTATATTTCTACTCCATTACCATTCCATACAGTCCTTGAATACTTTCTCTTGTTTTAAACTAGACAACTGTTCTAAGCAATAGCTTAATCCTACATCGAACTAACGTGAACATGTTTGAACCCCAGCTCTAATCTGCTGGTATCCAGCTTGGCCTAAGTACCTAGTGTTCAATATCACTGATGCAGATGTTGAAAACCAGAAAGGAGCTCTGGAACTCAGACATCATCAAGTTAAACCACGAGGATTCTTTCTCAGTGAATACTGACTGTTCAGCAAAAGCACTGAAATAAATCTGACTGGAACAAAAAGGCCCAAGCAGGCTTTACTCTTTTTAGCATTTCATACACTCTAAATGGATAAAGATTTGTAACACAGAGCACATGTGCAGCAAGCAGTTATTGCTCCATCCCCAAGACAATCACTGTTCACATCCCTGTAGGTATCCTCATCCCAGTTCTGCATATGCATGTCTTTCTCTCCATGCTCCTCTCTCCCTCTTCCAAGGAGCCATGCAAAGGGAACCTCCCCAAATTCTGTGGAAGGCCTCAGACACCAATCTCACTCCTGAAATTCTAATAACTAAATACCAGTCATGTCAAGGCACAGGTGGCAACCTCCTTTCTTTCCTAGAAAGCACATACAGGACACTGTTCTTGAAGACTGCTTCCTCATAAGGATAGGGAAACAAGTACTAACCACTGAAACACCTTCCAGAGGGATGGGTTCTGAATCCTCTGTATTTTAAGGATGCTGTAATTTTTCATAGTCTGATGAAACAGCTGCTTTATTTCATTGTATTCAGAGGTTGTGTTGCTGATCACCACTGCCTATAAAACACAAACCAAAGCAAAAAAAGGCATGAGGCTGCAGTGAGTCTGGAAGATGCAGAGGCCTAATTCCAGCAGATACACTTTCAGAAGGGCCCCAAACTCTGTTTATGAAGGGTTATTAAATGCTTTAGGTCATGACTACATGAATAACCAAATACCAAGAAAATCAGTCTGTCACTCCTGCTTTGCAAGGACACCTCACCTCTCTTCAGGAAGGATGTTGAAAGGTTGATCATCTCCAGGAGTTGACACCTGAAACTTTAAATCTCAATAGAACAGAAATTGCAAAAAGAAAATTTGACAGATTATTCCAGAGAGTATCAGTTTCATATCTAAAGCTGATTAAGAACAAAAGATCTTAGATAACAGCATCATTTGTAATTAGACATTTATGGGAGCTTCAGCTATTAAAGATTAAACAAACAAAACACAGATACCCTCCTGGCATTGTAGTGTCTTACCTTTTCAAAGTTAAAAATCAGAAAGCTTCACTTTAATATGGACTTCAAAAGAACCCCTACATTTCTAAACAAATGTGACATCCAATGCCTGCTTAAACAAATACATCTCCTTTCCCAAAGGAAACAAAGTCTGTTTAGCCATTATCCTTTTATTTATTTATCCATACATTTGTGTTTAAAAATCCATTAAGAAATGCTCATTTTTCCCAAAAAGAATTTAATGCAAAACATAATTAAAACATTACTTGATGTCTTCTGCTTGTTTATGTCAGGCATGAATTTTCCATTTTTTTCTCCAAAGTAACTCATGTCTTTTATCTTCTAGTATCAACATTTATCTTCATAAACTGCAAAAGTGTGATGCTGGCAGGCTGATGTCACCTGGTAATACTTTCCACTTTACCACAACTTAAGCCAAGTGGGAACTCAAGATTACAAAGTGAGATCCCAACATCCCACATTCCAAAGTGTTTTAAGCAAGAAAGCTGTGGCCATCCTAAAAGGTAACAAGGAAAATAACATCTTACCCTACCAGGCAAAAATTCCCTGTTTTAGAAGGCTGAGTTTAGAGAGAAAATAAAGTAGGATAAAATTTGTGTTTCACAGATACATTTAAGTACTTACTGATGAGGAGATCACCCACAGGGAAGTGTTCTAAAGATCAGCTGCACAAGAAATAACTATTTCTTTGAATTTATTTAAAAGCCTTTAAAAATTTGAGTGAAATTTCCCATGTCTCAATACAGGAGCATTTTCCAAAGCTTTACAGCACAGCACATAAAACAATCAGGATATGCAAGTACTGACTGCACAGTCTGTGGCACCACAGCCCAAATTGCTCACCATCACCTACAGGATGAAGATCATGTCTCTGTATTTCAGTACTACATGTTTTATTTAGGATCACAGAATGGTTTGGGTTGGAAGGGATCTTAGAGCCCATCCAGGGAGGGCAGGGACACCTTCCACTATGCCAGGCTGCTCCAAGCCCCATCCAGCCTGGCCTTGGGCACTGCCAGGGATGGGGCAGCCACAGCTTCTCTGGGCACCCTGTGCCAGGACCTCACCACCCTCACAGGGAAGAATTTCTTCCTGATACCCAGTCTAAACCTACTCTCTGTCAGTTTGAGGTCATCCCCCCTTTTCTCGTCACTCCAGGTCCTTGTAAATGATCAGCTCAGCACAAGGGGGGTTCAGGGGCAGGACATGTCCAGATCTCACCACCAGCAGCCCCAAGTCCTTCTCCCAGGGCTGCTCCATCTGCTCATCCCCAGCCTGGGTTGTCCTGGCCCAGGTACAGCACCAGTACTTGTTGAACCTCACTGGATTCCCATGGACCACTTCTTGAGTTTGTCCACATCCCTTTGGATGGCCCTGTCCTTCAGGTGTGTCACCTACAGTGTTCAGCTTGGTGTCATCTGCACATTTACTTATACATTAACAATTCCCACTTCAACTGTGGGATCTCAGTCTCTCAGAACTGGGGTGCAGGGTGAACAAGACCCCCCCTGGGGGGCTCGGGAGTCCTGGAATGCTGCCAGAGATGTCTGGTGGCTGGACTTTGATCCCACATGGGAGATGACATCAGTATGAGGACGGGAGGATTTCACTGGGGTGAATGGTGAAGGGACAAGTTAATTGGAGTGTGAGATACAGGGCTTAAGATTTCTGTACAGGGGGGTCTAGAGAAGTAAGATGGAGGAATTGGGGCGTGCCCTTCTCCTTCTTCTTCTTCCTCTAGACCTCCATCTTCTGTGGTGATGTTGGCACTCCGGGATTGGACCTTACTAGGGAAACACTGGTTAATAAGGGTAGAGGGTATTGGAGAAAAATGATAAATATGGTATACGTAACTCCGGGTATAAAGATAGGTGACCGCCCCAGGGGCTTTCAGTGTGTGCCCATGGCTGACTGCTGAGCAGAACTCTGTCAGGCCAAGAGAAAATCTTTTAGATAAGCAATTAATAAACACCAAGACCAAGAACAAATCTGAAGCTTCCTCTCGTCCTTTCGAACCCGGGGGCCCAAGGCCATCTTTGGGCTTTTCCCCAGACCATCTGAACAGCCCAGAAATCCCACAACTGGCGTTCGCTGTGCGGGCTATCTCCCACCAAACCTTTCGGGGGGGGGAAAGCCCTGAAGAGCTGAAGAGCCAAGAGAACAGCACTGATAACTCCAGAGGAGGGAAGCCTGAAGAAAGAAAGAAGAAAAAGAAAAAACCGGCCGGGAGAAGCTGCAAAAATCAGCAGTCACTGAGAAATCCCATCTCTCAGCTTCTGCTGAAGACAGCTCGTAGCAGAGCGGCCTGGACTGGGACCAGAAAGGCGCCTCTGATCCATCCCTCGTAATCTGCTGGACGGAGAACAAGGGCCTCCAGACCACGCTGGCGACAGATTCGGTAAGAAGGCCAAAATAATACTATGGGGGCAACACTCTCCCAAGAACAACGGGAAATCTTATCCACCTTACAAAGTGTAGCAGAATTATATACAGAAGGGATCCCAAAGAAAGAATTAAAACAGCTGTTATTATGGGCAAGGCTCAATTACCCACTTGCAGAGACATATCTTTTGTTCGAAGTCGGGTTTTGGCAAGAGATTAATAGGCATTTATATATTTTAGCAACAAAAAAAGATGAGACAGCGTTAAAGCTACTCTCGCCGGCAAGAATCATGTTACAAGGTATTGCAGTCCAGTCTAAAAAACTGGAGAAGCAGCGAGAAGCTGCGGCACCCTCAGAGGAGGGGGCGGAGCGGCAGAGCTCCGGAAAAAAAATTGCTCTGGCTTTGAAAGGCCAGGGGGAAAGGGCTCTCGAAAAAAGAGAGCGGGAAAAAATATTAAAACCCCCGATCAAAAAATGCAACAAACCCCAAGGGCGTCCTGAAACTCCAGAGAGTGTGGAGGAGTCAGGAGCAGAAGGGGGGGAGCAGGAAGATAAGGGATCGGGGGGGGGGCCTGCTCGCGGCGAAAGCGGCGACGCGGCGGCGGCGGCGGGCGCGAGCAGCGCCGGTGAGGATGAGGACACGCCCGCGGAGGGCGAAACTCGCAAAAACCGGGGGATAGACTCACATACCAGCGCGGGGGCGGCGAGCGCGCAAGGCAGTGCTGGGGAAGAAAACGCAGTTCCATGGTTTGATCTTCCAATGGGATGAATCACAAAAGGACTCTTTGATAATCATAGAGTGGATTTTCCTACCGCACAGGCCCGCGAAAACGATTCTCACAGATCTGGAGATGGCAGCACAAATCATCATAAAGGCGAGAACAAGGCTGCTGACAATGGCAGGAAGAGAATTCTCAGTCATCAGGTTACCTCTGAAACGAGACTACTTCGATTGGGCAATGCAACAATCGAAAGACCTGTTAATCGCATTGTTAGCGTTCCCAGGAGCTTGCACAATCCACTTTCCCCAACACAGAATACTGCAATCGCAAATATGCTATAGAGCAAAACCACAGATAAGTGAAGACGGGATCACCGTGTTCACGGATGGCTCGGGGAAGACACACAAGTCAGTGATCACGTGGAGAGACTCAACGACAGGGGATTGGGAATCAGACGTGAGGATGGTTCAGGGCTCTCCACAAATTGTGGAGTTGGCAGCCGTTGTCCGAGCATTTCAGTTGTTCAAACAGCCTCTCAATCTGGTGACAGATTCCGCATATGTTGCGGGTGTGGTCAAGAGATTGGAGGGTTCGCTCTTGAAAGAAGTCAGTAATGAGCTTTTATACTCATACCTGACAAGCTTGAAAACACTGCTAGAGAGCAGGGAAAGGGAGTATTTTATCACACACATTAGAGCGCACACAACACTTCCAGGGTTTTTAGCGGAAGGGAATGCTCGGGCGGACAGGTTGACAATGCCCATTTTGCAAACGCTGCCGGACATTTTTGAGCAGGCAAGGTTAAGTCATGCGCTCTTTCATCAGAATGCGCAAGCACTGATGGAGTCCTTTCGTCTCACAAAGAGTCAGGCGAGGGAGATCATTAGTGCTTGTCCAGACTGTCAGCTTGTGCAGCCACCTTCTTCTACCGGGGCCATCAATCCGCGGGGGCTGCAAAGTCTTCAGTTGTGGCAAGCTGATGTCACAAAATACCCATCTTTTGGGAAGCTCAAAAATGTTCACGTTTCTGTAGATACATTCTCAGGTGCAGTCTTTGCTTCAGCACATGCTGGGGAAACAGCAGACCATGCTTGCCGACACTTTCTGCAGGCATTTGCAGCATTAGGTGTGCCTCAGGAGATAAAAACAGATAATGGTCCAACATACACAGGCAGGGTGCTTGACAGATTCCTGAAAAGATGGGGTGTCAGACACACTTTTGGTATTCCGCATTCACCCACAGGTCAGGCAATCATTGAGAGAACACATCACACCCTAAAATCCCTTCTGGACAGACAGAGAAGGGGTGAGCCAGAGGCAACACCTCACATGAAATTAAATAAGGCATTGTATGTGCTGAATTTCCTAAATAGCTCATCCTCGGAACCTGATCCACCGATCGTGAGACATTTTCTAAACAACACACAGGCAAAGCTAAGGGAAAATCCTTTAGTTTTGATCAGGAACCCAGAGACCGGACAAATAGAGGGTCCTTTCAGACTAATCTCTTGGGGAAAGGGTTTCGCTTGTATCTCCACAGATCGAGGTCTGAAGTGGGTGTCGGTGCGGCATGTGAAGCCATTCCGAACACGAGAGCACGAGAACGCTGATCCAAGAAACAAAGAGACGAGTACTCAGACAGAAGTCGAGACTCAGACTGCGAAAAACGACCCAGAAGAGAAATAAAAAAAGAAACCAAGGACCTTGGGGGGTTTTCACACAAAAGCAAAGCAATGGGTTTCATGATGCTTATGTGCATTGTTTTTTCATTCATTGCAGTAAGCAGTGGGGGAGATTTACCTGTTAGTCAACCAAGGCAAAATGTATGGGAGGCTTTAGCTCGGGCAGCGAATTTAGACAGCATCTGCCTGACACATTCAAGACCAGGTAAACCGTTTTCAGCATGCATGGTTGGATTGCCAGTGGACCAATGGCCAGTTCCAGGGCACTCTGCAATTAACATTTCGCAGGTCATTAAAAATCCTATAAAAGAGTGGTGTGCTTGGACACACCTGCTTCCTATGGCTTCTACAGAACCTCAGGAATTGGAGATTTTTGGGTCCATGACAATGAAACTCTGCATGCGGTTTGAGGCTCCAAAAGACACAAAGGTGAAAACTATTGATTTAACTCCCACTCATGAATTTTATAAGAATGCCTCAGCTTGGTGTAAATATACAAAGAGAACTACCAAAGGATCGATCCAAGTTCCGGTGCAATTGCCGCGGGGTCTGTTCTTAATTTGCGGGGACAGAATTTGGCACGGCATTCCTGCTAATGCCACGGGAGGTCCATGCAGCATTGGGGAAATTTCAATGCTATCGCCTGATTTGAACATGTTAAGAGAGGAAAGGCACAGAGAAAAAAGATCAATACAGCAATATGCAGCAGATTGCAATGATGAAATGTTTTCTTGGGACGAGAAAACGAGTATTGCTACAGCAATCTTCTCACCTCAGACAGCATCGGGGGTGGCCTTGACTCAGATCGACCGCATGGGTTGTTGGTTGAGCAAACATGCGCGGTCTGTGTCTGTCACATTGGATGATATGTTAAAAGACGTCGGTAGTGTGAGACAGGCGACTCTTCAAAATAGAGCAGCAATCGATTATCTATTGCTCGCTCATGGACATGGGTGTGAAGAGTTCGAAGGGATGTGCTGCATGAATCTCTCAGATCATTCAAAGTCAATTCATGAAAATATCAAAAATATAAAGGACAGCATAAATAAGCTTGGTGAGATCACAGGATCATGGATCGATCAATTGGCAGAATTCTTTGACATCTCTCCCATTTGGAGAGGAATCTTAAAAATAGGGTTTTATGTTTTAATAGTTCTCCTAGTCCTCATACTTGTTGTCCCATGCATATTTGCATGTTTAAAACATGCAATGAATCGGATGGCGAAAAAGATCTTTTTGGTGCAAACAGAAGGGGGAGATGTGGGATCTCAGTCTCTCAGAACTGGGGTGCAGGGTGAACAAGACCCCCCCTGGGGGGCTCGGGAGTCCTGGAATGCTGCCAGAGATGTCTGGTGGCTGGACTTTGATCCCACATGGGAGATGACATCAGTATGAGGACGGGAGGATTTCACTGGGGTGAATGGTGAAGGGACAAGTTAATTGGAGTGTGAGATACAGGGCTTAAGATTTCTGTACAGGGGGGTCTAGAGAAGTAAGATGGAGGAATTGGGGCGTGCCCTTCTCCTTCTTCTTCTTCCTCTAGACCTCCATCTTCTGTGGTGATGTTGGCACTCCGGGATTGGACCTTACTAGGGAAACACTGGTTAATAAGGGTAGAGGGTATTGGAGAAAAATGATAAATATGGTATACGTAACTCCGGGTATAAAGATAGGTGACCGCCCCAGGGGCTTTCAGTGTGTGCCCATGGCTGACTGCTGAGCAGAACTCTGTCAGGCCAAGAGAAAATCTTTTAGATAAGCAATTAATAAACACCAAGACCAAGAACAAATCTGAAGCTTCCTCTCGTCCTTTCGAACCCGGGGGCCCAAGGCCATCTTTGGGCTTTTCCCCAGACCATCTGAACAGCCCAGAAATCCCACATTCAACTACACATGTACTTTTGCTCTGCTGCATCCTTCAGGCTCATGGTGTGATTCCTGGGGTGTCCTGTGCAGGGCCAGGTGTTGGACTCGATGATCCCAATGGGTCCCTTCCAACTCAGCCTGTTCTATGATTCTTCTATTCTATGATCTCTTCCTGAGGAACTGAAACCTTTCTAGGTAAAAGAGAGGGTCAGCTCTCTTACACAAGGCCTGATCCTGTAAGAAAAGTACTTCTATTTATTTTATATGACAACAAAGCTGTTCTCCTTTCCATGAAATCTTTGTGGGTTTGTCCTTTTTTCCCCAAGGATGCTTCTAGTGCTAATAAAGGATCACAGCATCACACTGCTGTTGAAGGCTGATATGGCATAACTACACAACTTCAGCTTTTTTCACCTTCAGGCCTGAAAAGGAAATCCCACTGAGTGTGAGCATCTGCTACCCTGTTATCAGGGAGCAGAGTTCCCAAGGCAGAGAAGGAATCCCTGCTCTGGCAGCAATTCCCACCAGTGTATGACTGCTCAAGAGCAGTACTCAGTCACTCACACCCTGAGCTCTGCTTCACTGGGGTGTTTGTTGGAAGGAGCAGGGTTGGTGGCAGTGACCCCACCAGAAGTGACATCTATAAAATGGACATTCACTCTCCACATTGCACCCTGTGCCTGGTGCAGTGCAGCAGTCCTTGGCCTGCATGGCCAGGATTCAGCAGCACATCAGCCACACAGACTGACAGGAAACCACACATCCAGTGCACACTTTTCTCAGTTGTACATTAAAGACACAATTTTAAACCCAGCAAGAAGTTTCAGGATATAATAAAATCGTTTTTTTTTCCTTTAAAACATTTAAAAACTACTAATTCCACTTTGTGAAAACAAAGACAGGAGAAAGTCACACCAACTTCCCAAACAGTGTTACCAATTCCCACTGTGCATTTTATACACTTCTTTCTACAGAACCATTCTCAATTAATTAAGACATATAAGATTAAGACATAGCAATACTCAAAAAATAAGCAATGTTACCAAAGCACAGATTCCCATTTTAAGCCAAGATGACTTTCTGCCTATCTCACAGGTTCCTTTTAAAAATGGATCACTTCCAGTGCAGCTGATTCTGCCAGGATTATTTGTCAATGTCTGAAGAGAAGGCAGTTCATCGAGTTGGAGCTGTCAGCTCTTACATGGTCACCACAAGCATGCAGAATCCCAGCCACTCCCAATATTACCTACTGCAAAAAAAAAAGCTTAGGGTCCCACAGAAAGATTTCACCTAGCCCAGGCTTTCACTTTTAGTGCCAACAGCTATCATAGGCATTGTCACTTTTCCTTTCCTGTGAAAGGCACTCACAAGTTCGATTTTTTCTTAGGTGCCAAACTGAGCTCCCTCTACTCACACATCCCCACAGGTACAACCAAAAGATACTATGGATCTGTGCACTGCATTCCAAAGCTTTCCACATTCACCCCAGTGACTCCAGAAACACGCCAACAAATGTACTCAACTAAAATTCAGGCAAGTTTTCAGAGCAAGTATGGGAAGCAATTAAGCACACACAGCTCAAGAGACCTGAACAGAACAGAGGTACCTGCCTTTCTGGCACTCTGGGAAAAATTTATGCTTGTAAGTTAAGATGCCAAAGGAAGAGCATGTTCCTTTGTTACTTCCACTGGGCTCCAAATATCACAGGCAAATCTTCAATCTGGCTGCCTGCCAGGTTCCCACACACTCTCATTATTATTTAATCTTTTCCTTATGAAAGTCATGACTCAACAGCACGGTCTCTCTAGCAGTTTTGTCTGACCCTGTCCTCTATGCAGTAAATAATCAAGTGTACTTTGCCATCAAATCATGTTAAACCACTGCCTCCTTCACTATCAAATTTTGTTAAATGGTGATTTTATATCAACATAGCACTCCTCCTCTTTTCCAAGTGAAATGCTTTACTACACCCTGACACTGACACACAGCCACACACTGGTGCTCCTCAGCCTCCAGGGCATCTGTGCCAACACAACCTGGTCAGCATCACACAGGATCCTGTGACACAGTCAACAAGGAAAACCTCTCAAAGCACTACACAAAAGGCCCATGTAACACAAAAAAGCCCTTTTTTTTTAGAGTTCTGCAGTACTTCCAAAACTGCTGCTCTTCCAGAAGGACTGCAGGACCTAGAAATCTAAAAAAACACCCACACATTTTGGTCTTGGAAGACTAAATAAGAACACAGACTTTGGGCTGATAGGGGTTGGGTTTGTTTTGTGGAAGACATCACTGCAATGTTTGCTTTTATTTTATGGTTGTAGATCTTGATTTCTGCCACCTCCTGAGGCCAAGGTCTGCACTCAGATCCATGATGTATGTGACAGCACTGGAGGATACAGATTCCTGAATCTCCAATCCAAATTTACCTCCTCCTGCTTCAAACTCAGTGAGTTTTGGTCTTGTTGTTGTGTGGAGTTTTGAGTTTTTGGTATGTAGATAAATGCCTAAAATGCAGTTGAAGTTCAAGACAATTTGGCACCTGTTTCATGACCCCCTGGGAGATCACCTAGATCTTTAGCACACTCACCCAAGAAATTGCTCCTGTCCCTTTTTAGCATCCACACAGTTACAGCTGATTCAGTTAAGCTCTGAACTGTGCTTTTCCATCAGAATTACAAGAAGGGGAGAAAAAAAGATACCTTGTATCCGAAGTCAGGCAGTGCAGATGCATCCCAGTGACTAGGACAGCTCTGATTTGGAATAGAAGAATCCCTTTGGCTGCTTGCAAACAGAGAGAAATGAAGTGTTAGTAATTCTAGCACTGCTCCAGTTGGAGCATCCTCTTTAGCCAATTCCTGTATTTAATAATTAACAAAATAAACCACAAAGAAACTGGGAAATAGCCTCAATCTGTAGGCTGGGCTCTGCATGCTGCCACTCAACCACCACAGGCCTCTTGCACTTGCTTTTATGAGTAACAGCTGTGGCTGGAGTACCTGCAGTAATCTGTACCCCAGGCAGCAGGTGAGGCACCACAGCTGCAGTTTGTGACACAGCTTCTGCTCTTCAGTCCCATGGACAGGCTTCAGCAGCAGCACTTGTGTCTTTGTACAATTACTGCCAGCACTGGGACCCATTCTGCCTTATGATTAATTCTAAAATATGAAACAACAACCTAAAGAGCACTTACCCTGTCTTTATCTTCTGCACATCTTCAGAAGACACGAATTTCGGTCGCCTGCAAACCCGTCTTCGAGTGTTAAAATGAATATTTGTCTGAATCATTTCTTGAGTAGAAAAAAGAGAAGGGAAAAAAAGTTATGAATAAGTCTACAAGACAGGGACATCTTGTCCTCATCAGTCATCCTTTAATGAAAACTGCATATTGGCTGTCAATTCTACCTGCTGAGGAGTAGTTGCACACAGGCTGTGTAAGGTTCCTGTCTCTCCTGTAACTCTGTGACTGAACCTCTGCCTATCCTGCTTGCTCCCTCAAGCCACTCAGTGCTCTTTAAACATTGCTACAGCAGCAGGAAGATGCCTAACTTGTATTTTTTACCATCCACAGTGTTAACTTACTTTCCTTAAAGTTTATGACTTTATGTGAAGACTATGAACCTTTATATTCCTGGTCAGATGTGAGTCTGGAGAGCGTCAAGGAGTAAGGGGGGAAGGTTCCTTTTGTGAGGAATTTGCTCACAAAGGGCCACCACTACTTCACTTCCAGTAAGTGAAACTGGTGGTGTCAGGAGAGGAAGTCATACCTTCTAAAAGCTGGAAAACTTTGCAGGAGTCTATAAAGCACTGCATAGTTGTAGATGAGAACCTGTAAAATTACTACCTTTAAAATTGAGCTCATACTGATGTTGGCCAGCATGGAAAGGTACAATTGCACATGGATCTGCTTGATACAAATTCTCAATAATAGCAGAAGATGGTGAGGTCGTGCTGGTCCCTTCTTCCTTTGTAGGGAGAAGAGAAAAAAAATTAAGAGAATGAGAAGTATCACAGTCAGGACTAAACCCTGGATAACTAGCTGGGGTAGAGGGAAAGAAGAGGCCAAGTGTAGGATGACAAGGAATCTACCCAGAACTATGGTGGCCTGAGGCTGAGTACTGAATATGTGTAACATAAACACAAATACATAATTAGTAACTTTAAATTCCTGTAACAACTTGTGCTGGATTTGGCTGGGGTAGAGTTAAATTTCATCCCAGTAGCTGATTGTGGCTGTGTTTTGGATTTGTGCTGGAACAGTGCTGATAGCACAGGGATGTTTTAGTTATTATTTAGTGTAGGCATGCACAGAGCCAAGGCCTTTTCTGCTCCTCTCCCACCCCACCAGTGACAGGACTGGGGGCACAAGGCCTTGGGAAGATGCACATCCAGGAGAGCTGAGCCCAGCTGGCCACAGGGACATCCCAGCCCATACAGCATCACTCCTGTGTACAAAGCTGGGGAAGGAGGAAGGAGGGGACATTTGGAGTGATGGAGTTTGTGTTCCCAAGAGACTGTGGAGCCCAGCTCTCCTGGGATGGCTGAGCACCTGCCTGTCCAAGGGAAGAGGGGAATGAATGCCTTGCTTTGCCTTGCTTGTGCACACGTTTTTGCTGTAGCATTTTTCACCTTCAGGCCTGAAAAGGAAATCCCACTGAGTGTGAGCATTTGCCACCCTGTTATCAGGGAGCAGAGTTCCCAAGGCAGAGAAGGAATCACTGCCTTGGCAGTAATTCCCAGTCTTTATCTCATGCCATGAGTTTTCTCACTCTCTGCCCAGTTCCTTGGCAGGGGAGGGGGTGAGGCTGAGCTGCAACTGGCTGTGATGGGTACACCCAACTCCTTATCAAACCAAAGTAACTTTGGTTCAGGCTCCAAAGGAAGCAAAGGCCTAGGCCAAGAACTTTTCTAGTCTAAACACTTTTCTAGTCTAAAAACCCACAAAGGAACAGGGTGACATGGTGAGCATTGATGCATATGAGCTTGGAAACAAACACTGATGATGTGATTATTGCATGAACAGCAGGTGGTTCTTCCAAGACTAATTTGCCAAGGAACAAAAACATTGCAGATGTAAGGAGTCTCAGTCTTACCTTTTACTTTGCTTGAGATTTAACTATGAGCCAACCACTTCATTCCACAGACAGGAAAGCCTGAGTGAGCTCCCTGCAAGCTCTCCCTGCTAAAGAGCAGCTGGACAGCTGTGATCTCTCCTGGACCTGGGTGACTCCTTGTGGTTGAGTACTCTGTGAGGTTACTCTGAGTCTTTTAAACTGTTCTCTATCCAGCACCTTTCTCTGTGTACTTTTCCAAGCCCCTGGATCACCTTTGTGTTCTACCATTTGTGCTGCTATACTGTAAACCATATGGGATAAACTCATCTGCCTCGGGGGAAGGTGAGATTCTATATTTATTTCTTTTCCTGCATTTTTCAGATAGATTACTTTCTCATCAGAGGACTTGGACATACATGGAAAAAGACTGCATTTGATCTGAGAGAGCAGAGCAATCCTTGCATGTCCAAGGAAGCAGGGCATTGCTTGGAAAAGAAGCAACTTCTTCCCATGTATCTTAAGAGCAGTGTCTATATGTTAAATCTCTATGGAGCCATGGACAACTCCAAAAGGGAGCTCTCTTCCCTCCCTCCAGCCTGTCAGCATTTTAGCACATCTGTTATGAACAGATGTAGCCTCACTGCCTTACCCAACACTGTCAAATTCAAGCACAAGGACTCAATTAATGCTGTTGAGAAAAGGGGAAAGGATGCAGAGGCCCCACATATTCCTGCAGTAATGACTCAAAGCACAGGATGTGAACTCACTGGTTCCCCATATTCAATCCACTTGTCTTGGTTGTTCTTCCAGTACCAAATCCACTGTGTGGTCAGCAGGAATGTGGGCTTGGTGACTGATGATGGTGTAGAGAGGCGTCGAACCAAAGAAGAAGAGCAGGTCATTGTCTGGAAATTAATGTTCTTACTTGGAAAGCTGTAAGGACAAATTCAGGTTTATTAGAGTTAGGAATGCATATTTTATCCTCTCATCCCCAGTTTAAGCTGGTGCCATTTTCTTTAATATAAAGTAACCAAACTTAATTAGATCTGAAATAGGATTATTTATTTCCCACAGCACGTGGCAGCTCTGAAAGCCATTTCCAAGCTTCAGAAGTGAACTCTGGCCTGTGAGACACCAAATGCCACCTCAATCACATGTGGAACTCACTGCCAGCTTTACAGATAATGTCAGGCTCCAAGTACAATGAGGCAAAAGGAACTTCTGTGATAACTAGGTGTGGTTACAGTCTTTCTCAGTACAAAAGCAGAATGTGCAAAGTGTGTGACTGAATTTGCCAGCAAAAAACCTGCAGCCTATCAACTTTGTTCTTTTTCTGTGGTTACAAAGGATGCAATCACAGCAACCACAGCTGTGAGTTCTGCAAACTGCATTCATCACTGGAGCCACCTGGGCTCTTTCTCCTGCAAGGCTTGAAAAGTTAAATTCCCAGGCAGGAAGGCTTTGATGGCAACCACCTCTTGGGAATATTGCTTGTGATCTCCAGAAAACTGGCAATCAAAATCATCTGGTGCCCCAAGAGGCATGGACCAAAACTAGAATACTATTTTGTGAAGCCAAACTTGGGTGCCCTATGAATCCAGGTTGCTTTCAGTGGGACTTTTCAGAAAGGAGGTAAAAGGAAAAGACACTCTTAAAATAGAAAGAAAAAAGAAGAAAAAATAAATGGGCTGCTTACACAAAGGACATTTCATAAAATGTCTCTAGGTATGTAACAGATTACTATTATTGTTACTACAGATACTAACTGCAGTAGGAAAGCAATAGCTGTAGAGAAGGACCAGCTCTGAAATGTTGTCAAAAGGCCCAACTTCATTACTGTAAATAAACTGATAAATGACCTGAAATTCTAGTATTTTAAACACTGGCTTTTTACCTTGTACAGAGTTTTACATGCAAGATATAGTTTTGTTACTTTTAGAAGACAAAACTAGAGTGGGATTTTCATGCAACCATTCTTTCTTTGCTTTTTTAAAAGGAAAAATTCTTATTTTTACATCCTCCCTTCTGAGAGGCTCAGTAACCAGAAGCTGAGAAGTCAGACATCTTTAGGAAGGAAACACAAGTTTTCCTACACAGGTTCAATCACAAAACTCCAAGCAAGGAGTCCAGCATTACTACACCTGCTGTTCTTTGGGTCACAGTAGGCCTTTTCAATTTCCTCCATCATGGAAAGTTCTTTCCAGTTCAACCCATCATGTACTTCCCATTTATATGGCAAATGGTAATGAACAGATTTGCATCTATCTGTAATGAAATCAGACATAGTCAAGAATTCTGCAGTCATTAACACAGAGAGCAAGACAAGAAAAAACCAAAATAGAACCAGCATCTTTTATACTCTGAGGCTTTCTCTCCTGGGCTTTGGTATAAGCCATGAAGGCAGAGAGCTGAAAACAGAAGGGGAGTGTGTTTCTGCAGTCTTATCAAGAAAAGCAACATATATATATTTTATATATATATATATATATACACACATATACATACTGCCAAATTTATTTGAAAGACACCTGTAGTGGTTTTGGTTTGCTAATTTGAGATTTTTTGGTTAATCTACTAATTACTGTGGTTGGTTTAGTGTTGGTTAACTACTAGTGCACTTACTAGAATGTCTTGATTTATTTTTTGTTGTGAGGTAGAATTAGGAGAAAAGTAAAATAGGCTGAAAACTTTAAAAGGGTATAAATAGAAAATAAATAGAAATTTATTAATAGTAAGTAAAAGAAAGAGTAATAAGAATCAGAACACAATTTTTAGGACACTTCTCTTTACAACTTTTTTTTGTCATTGATAATGTAGACAGACAAAACCTAAAACTTTTAGTTTACTATTTCTAGAATAGTCTTTCTTTAGTTTACTTATGGAGAGAAGTCTTGTTAATTTTATGGAGCCTTCTCTACAAGAAAATAGTTCTCTTGTGGCTTTTAATTTCTACAAATAGCATCTGTTTGGGGAAATTTGTAATCATTAAATCTTTCTCATTTTCTATAAATTTTATCACAGCTGTGTTTATGGGCCATGTCATCTTATGGGGTATTGGTTTAAAGATGAGTTGTTTAAAAGCAGAGGTTCTTAACAGAGATAATTATCCCTGAAATTATCTATCTCTAGGACTAGAGATCTTTTCTTTCTTTGGGATATAGGATCTTTATCACTCATCTATCTTTTTCTGTTTAAACTTCTTATAGGATTGTAGCTACTTTAATACCTGTTTACTTCAGTATGCAGGTTTTTGCTTGATATCTACAATTTGCACACTTTCATTTCCTCATACTTTTAAGCGTTATAGAGAAAAAAAGAGTCCTTCTCTATAGTTTTACAAGAGAATTTTAGCCTAAAACGAAAGGCATTTCTTCATCTTTCTTATTTGGGACTTGACTACTTCATCGACTTTGGTGTTTTAAAGGGCTTTGCCACAGAGACATACCCAAAGCCTGCCCCCATCAAAAGGGCTGAAATAGGCTGGATGATCCACAGGATAAAGGGTTTAAGTATACCATTTGGCTTTTTTCTGATTATGTTTGTAATTCTGACAGTGTTTATTAATGACTTGGAAAGAAAAGAAACCACTGAGGAGGCACAACTGTCACCACTAGCCCGAGACACTGAGCAGGAGTGCCTCTGCAGACAAGTCTTCAACAACTTTTCATAAAGCTTACCCTTGTTTTTGCAGTACTTCCAGACATAGAACAAACAGATCTCATCACAGTTATCTTTTTTGTTGTCCTTTGCAGCTTCATCAGAGGAACTGTTCTTTTTCCCTACAGCAAAGAACATCACAATCCATATTTGCTTTAAGAGAAAGATTCTGCATTTGGTACTTCATCCCAGAAATAACATGGATGTCAAATCCTTGCAGTAGCAAAGTCAAGCACTTGAAGGGTCTGACCATCTCTCATACAACCCAACAGAGAAGTCAGGGCTTTGTGACTGAACAATAAGCCCTGACACTGGAAGGAGACTCAGTGAGAGACCTGACAAAGCCATATTCATTGTCTAGAGACAGCAGGCAAGGCAAGATCCTGCATGCACTGATACAATTCTGTCACCTTCCTAGCTAGGAAAAAAGGTGTCCAGGACAGTACAGAGTGCTGCACAATGCCTGGGCAGAAATTCCAACACAGCTCTGCTGGCCATCTGGTGCTGTGGATTTCAGCACTCAGCAAGGCTCACACATAAGCTGCTGCTCTCAACTACCACTGGGAGTTGTCAGGCTGTGTGAAATCAAGGCCCAGTGAAAACCACTGGTCTCAAGACTGGAGAGTTGTAAATAATCCATACCTTTATCTTTCCATACCTTTATCTTTACCTCCCACTCCTGCTGGCAGCTGGTCTCGGCTCTGGGCAGGTCCAGTGCTACTGGGTGTTGAATTTGCAGACAACCCTGACATGGGAAGAGATGAGAATCTTGACTCCATGTTACAGAAGGACGATTTATTATTTGATGATATTTATTATATTAAAAGAAAACAATATTGTAAAACTGTACTAAAAGAACAGAAGAAAGGATTTAATCAGAAGGCTTGAAAGGAATAGAAAGGAATGATAATAAAATCTTGTGACTGCTCACAGCCTCGACACAGGTGGCTGTCATTGGTCATCGAGTAAAAACAATTTCACATGCTAGTTAAACAGTTCTCCAAATCACATTCCAAAGCAGCAAAACATGGAGAAGCTGAAGCTTCTCCACAGAAAAGGTCCTAATGAAGGGATTTTTCATAAAATATATCTGTGACAACTGGGACCTGTGTGAAAAGATTGAATGAGCAGCACTGCTGGGCCACAAGCTCAGCCAGCTGATATCCCAGTCTCTGTGGAGAATTGGGATATCACACATATGGAAAGTCACACATGTGATTTGATATGAAACATTACACCGTCCATTTGTAGAATAACTAAAAGCACCTCCAGTCCTCCAGAGAGTACTGGACTCTGACAAGCTTTAAAGCCAAGGTCCTTCTGCCCAGAACAAGAGATTTACAAGTTGCTCTTCACTCACTGGAAGGTGTATCGAGGCAACAGCTCTACTGACAAAGTTGTAGTAATTCCCTATGGACAGAAGGCAAGGCAAGATCCTGCATGCACTGATACAATTCTGTCATCTTGCTAGGAAGGAAAAAAGGTGTCCAGGACAGTACAGAGTGCTGCACAATGCTTGGGCAGAAATTCCAACACGGCTCTGCTGGCCATCTGGTGCTGTGGATTTCAGCACTCAGCAAGGCACACACATAACCTACTGCCCTCAACTACCACTGGGAGCTGTCAGGCTGTGTGAAATCAAGGCCCAGTGAAAACCACTGGTCTCAAGACTGGAGAGTTGTAAATAATCCATACCTTTATCTTTACCTCCCACTCCTGCTGGCAGCTGGTCTCGGCTCTGGGCAGGTCCAGTGCTACTGGGTGTTGAATTTGCAGACAACCCTGACATGGGAAGAGACGAGAATCTTGACTCCATGTTACAGAAAGATGATTTATTATTTGATGATATTTATTATATTAAAAGAAAACAATATTGTAAAACTGTACTAAAAGAACAGAAGAAAGGATTTAATCAGAAGGCTTGAAAGGAATAGAAGGGAATGATAATAAAATCTTGTGACTGCTCACAGCCTCGACACAGGTGGCTGTCATTGGTCATCGAGTAAAAACAATTTCACATGCTAGTTAAACAGTTCTCCAAATCACATTCCAAAGCAGCAAAACATGGAGAAGCTGATGCTTCTCCACAGAAAAGGTCCTAATTAAAGGATTTTTCATAAAATATGTCAGTGACAACTGGGACCTGTGTGAGAAGACTGAATGAGCAGCACTGCTGGGCCACAAGCTCAGCCAGCTGATATCCCAGTCTCTGTGGAGAATTGGGATATCACACGTGTGGAAAGTCACAGGTGTGATTTGATATGAAACATTACACCATCCATGTGTGGAATATCTAAAACACCTCCAGTCCTCCAGAGAGTACTGGACTCTGACAAGCTTTAAAGCCAAGGTCCTTCTGCCCAGAGGAACAAGAGATTTACAAGTTGCTATTCACTCACTAGAAGGTGTATTGAGACAACAGCTCTAATGACAAAGCTGTATTAATTCCCTATGGACAGAAGGCAAGGCAAGATCCTGCATGCACTGATACAATTCTGTCACCTTCCTAGCTAGGAAAAAAGGTGTCCAGGACAGTACAGAGCACTGCACAATGCTTGGGCAGAAATTCCAACACAGCTCTGCTGGCCATCTGGTGCTGTGGATTTCAGCACTCAGCAAGGCACACACATAAGCTGCTGCTCTCAACTACCACTGGGAGCTGTCAGGCTGTGTGAAATCAAGGCCCAGTGAAAACCATTGGTCTCAAGACTGGAGAGTTGTAAACAATCCATACCTTTATCTTTATCTCCTGCTCCTGTTGGCAACTGGTCTTGGCTCTGGGCAGGTGCAGTGCTACTGGGACCTGTGTGAGAAGATCGAATGAGCAGCACTGCTGGGCCACAAGCTCAGCCAGCTGATATCCCAGTCTCTGGGGAGAATTATGTCCATCACATGTGTAATTTGATATGAAACATTACACCATCCATGTGTGGAATATCTAAAACACCTCCAGTCCTCCAGAGAGTACTGGACTCTGACAAGCTTTAAAGCCAAGGTCCTTCTGCCCAGAAGAACAAGAGATTTACAAGTTGCTATTCACTCACTGGAAGGTGTATCGAGACAACAGCTCTAATGACAAAGCTGTAGTAATTCCCTATGGACAGAAGGCAAGGCAAGATCCTGCATGCACTGATACAATTCTGTCACCTTCCTAGCTAGGAAAAAAGGTGTCCAGGACAGTACAGAGTGCTGCACAATGCTTGGGCAGAAATTCCAACACAGCTCTGCTGGCCATCTGGTGCTGTGGATTTCAGCACTCAGCACGGCACACACATAAGCTGCTGCTCTCAACTACCACTGGGAGCTGTCAGGCTGTGTGAAATCAAGGCCCAGTGAAAACCACTGGTCTCAAGACTGGAGGGTGAGAAACAATCCATACCTTTATCTTTACCTCCCACTCCTGTTGGCAACTGGTCTTGGCTCTGGGTAGGTGCAGTGCTACTGGGACCTGTGTGAGAAGATCGAATGAGCAGCACTGCTGGGCCACAAGCTCAGCCAGCTGATATCCCAATCTCATTGAGGAATTATGTCCATCACACATGTGATTTTCCACTAGCACTCCACTGCTGATACCACAGAGGTGCAATCACAGTTACAAACCCCAGCTCGTCACCGTTATTGCCAGCCACTCAACTGCTCTTTTCAATGCAGTACTTCAGGCAATAAAAGTGCAGCTCTCCCTCCCATATGACTCTGCCATGACTTCCTCCATTTTTGCAAGTGCATAATAGCAGAGAGGAAAAAATGTGTATATATTGCAAGAAGAGAAATACAAAAGCTGATTCCACAAGGAAACAGTTGGTACTATTATCTAGGTATTTACCTTTTGAAGGTGGCACATCCAGCATGCACTGCACTGTATCCAAAGTTGTCTTCACTTCTTTAGTCCTTCTAACTACTGGCTTTTTCAAATTATTATTTCTGAAGTTGTGTACTGAAAGCATCAAAAGGATGGCAGGGTTTAGCTAGGCAAGGCAAGAACAGTTTCTACCTCTATCAAACTCAAAATCATTATTAAGACCACTGTTTCTTGCAACTTACCATACTTCTTCGGTTCCCTGTTGAATTCCATATGCTTGTAATCACATATGGCCTGGAAGTTTGAAGCTATCTTCCCATCAATGCCTACAGTTTCCAACACTCTCAATGCATGGTCATCCAAGAGGTTATGGGACATCACGCATTGAGGAAATTTACACCTCCCCTTGAGAAAATAGTAACAAACATGAAGCTTGTTGCAGTTGCTTTGCTGTGTGCAGTGAGAACCTTTTTTGTTGTATAACTGGCAGGTCTAAAAGTGGAGAGGATACAATAAGAAATGGAAAAGCAAAATTAGAATTTTTGTTTGTCCTACAGGCATACAGCTTTAACAGCAGAAAAATGGTGATTAAAAGTCATGTGTTTACAGTGACTTCTTTAATGCAGACAGATTTCTTGCATAGAGGAGCAGGTATTTTAAGCTGACTCATGCATTTTCAGCTTTGAAGTTGTACATGTTTTGTTTCCAAGAAAAGCCAATCCAACAAGCTTAGGAGTGCCAAAATGGATGCAAGACAGTTGCATAAAATGGATGCAAGACAGTTGCATAAAAGACTGGTTTACAGTTATTCTACTTTAAAAACCCCTGTAGCATAATGAACAACAAAGAACAAATATCTCCATAAAAACATGTTCACTGTGTCAAATGAGTTATCATTTCATGGAGCTGAAACTGAATTTGCACTTATTTGTAAAGCTTATCCTGCATTGAAGATTTGAGCTTACAAAATGGTAAGAAAACTGCTTTGAGATTAGAGTACATATGGAAAAAGCAATGCACTCTTTATTCCTCTATTCACTAAAAAAGAGAGACAGAGAATCAGATGAGGGACCAAATTACAGACCAAAAACTCCTTCACATTGACCACTAAGCACCACAGTAACATTTTTGCTCCCAGAGCATCTGTAATAAAGCTTCTTTGAGGAGGACACATAGATGTGGCAGAGAGCCCTAATGTCACACTGGGACTCTCACAGGTCCCCTCCAAATCCCTCTTCCCAGGAGCCACCAACTGCTCAGGGATGATGGGGTGGGCATCAGTCAGTGGGTGGGGAGCAGCTGTACTAGGAATTACTTGTATCTCTTGGGTTTTATTAATTTCTCTCCTTCTCATTACAGTCATTATATTTTATTCTATTTAAATTATTTTAGTATCCTTATCTCAACCCACAAGTTTTACCTCTTTTCTAATTCTCCTCCCCATCCCACCAGGGTGGGAGAGAGCAAGTGGCTGCATGGTACTTATCTGGGCTTAAACCATGACAACAGAGAATCCACTACTTAGCTACATCAAGAAAGCACACTGTCCCCTTGCACCGGCCAAGAAACAAAAACAGAAACCAACCAAAACAAAAACAAAATAGGAGACCCAGAGAGGTGAGGGAAAGTGTGAAAACCCCTGATGTTGTGGTGCTGTTGTGTTTTTCTTACTCTGAACCCCAGTTGAAGTCAGAGAATTCCAAAGTGTCCTCTTTCTTGACAGCTTCCTACATGCCATGTCTTCATGGCACACACAACCAGTCAGCATTTCTAAGCAGGAAACAGCCAAACTGTTTTTTACATCCAACCTCCAAATTCTCAGGTTTATGAATGGCCTGCACTGATCCCAGTTTTCTCTTCGGTTTGCCATTTTACTGCATGATAGGAGTTAAAGTGTTCAATTACTGGTAATTATTGATGCCTGCCAGGGGTGAGGGCTGAATAGATTTCTAGTAATCACTGAAGGGTAATACCAACCAAGAACAGTTTCTACTATTTGCTCACTACTGGGAACTATTAGTATTCTCCTTGCTTACCATCACGTTCCTTCAGTCTGCCAGTAAAACATACTTTAAAACACTACACAATTTAAAAGAAAAAAAAAACATCTGCTTTGTCAAAGTCTAGCACTTTCACAGCAGGGAACAAAGAAACAATAGAACTGTTGTGTCAACAAATCTGTGGAGATTATAACCTGCAAAAGACAAGGGCAGTACTTTGGTAATTTCTTCACCAGGAACAGGGTATGACTGACTTTCAAACAGCCATACCTTGAAGAGAGTACTGCCCTTATACAGACATGCTGAACCAGAATGGAATGTTCAACCAAATTTAACAAAATCAACGAGTGGCACACAAACTGGGCAAAGATCCCTTTGTAGAAAGCCAGTGTACAAAAACTCCCTGCATTTTGGAAGAGCCAGATTTGACACAAAACTGACTGCAGTCATTTGGTCATTTTTCACAGGTTCTTCTCATCTTTTATACCCTCAAGCACCAAAATGTGTGCAGGCCTACATGGGCTGAAAAAAGGAAAGGGGCACTGCACTCACTTCCTAGTCTTCATCTCACAGAGAAGAAGCAACAAACTGGGTTTTGGTCATGTCTTTTACACTGTAAGCATGTACCATTATTGTGATCTTTCAACTCTCTCTTGCTTATCTCACCCTCTGTAAACCTCTGGTGAAGCTGCTGACATTTCTGTTTGCTGTTTTGAGCAGCTTTATGGCCACCCTGTTGGGATAACAGAGCTGGCAAGGAGACACGCTGTAGCCTTGCTGCCCACCTCCTGCTATCAGAGGGCAGGTCTGCTCCTGACACATCCCAGATGCCAGGGCCTTCTCCACATGTGTACTCTGGGTACTTATTGAACAGATTTACTGCTGTGGGGATGGTTTTCTCATTATTTTAAGTACACAGCCCTTTCACAGATCTGGCTTTTTGTTGTTTTACGTTGCCATTCCAATTCCTCCTTCATTCTGACTAAACCCATTTCATATCTTAACAGCTGGACATTAAAATCAGAACTCCACATTCTCTCTTGCCCTCTCCCATTCCTAATGAATGAAAACTTTCTCTTAAGAAACCTGTACAACTCACATCAGGGAGGAAGAATGCATCATTCTGGAGAAGCAGGACTTGCAGCTCATTCTCACTGAGGCCAGACAAATCATGTTTTTTTAGAACTTTCTTGTTCTCCGCATTCATGATGTCATGCGAGTACTTACAAGAGCTGCAAGAAAATACACAGAAATATCAATGTTTACTCCTTTGTCAAATTGATTTACAGAAGAACCTCAGATAATGTACAACTTGGGAAAAGCCATGAGAGAAAGGGGGCTTGGTGAGAGTCTCTGAACATTTAGATGGTGTCTGTAATTAGCCAGAGGATGGACAAACAGCAGAACTCCTCTGTGAAGTGTGGTGACCCTATTCTCCTCCTTTTAAACTCCAATGCAGGCTGACCCCAGGCATTCTTTGCCTCCAGGAAGACCCAAGTCAAGCCACATGACCTAAACAACCCGAAGAAAAGTTAATTTTAAAGGAGTACACCAACAATGCCAAAAGTTACAACAGCCTTCATTTTGTGAACATAGAAGGTTGTTGTCCTAGGGATGGCAAGTAAAGAAACATGCAAGAGCCTGCACGAAACAAAAGCAACAGTGAAGCTGAAAACAACACATTTTGTTATCTTCAGTAGCTGTGAAGTTTTATTTAAAAAAAAATCAAAAACAGGTAAGAAAGTTTAACTTACGAGTTTTGATTAAGGAAACAAGCTACAATAATGAAGTCAGTGCTGCCACATACAAAGCCAAAATCTGGTGAGTATGAATTAGAGAGGGGGATTGCAGGTTTTTTTTCATCTATTTGAAATGGTACTGCAAATCAGTAACAGAGAGGAGACACATACATAGTCAGCCTGTGCATTAATTTAATGCAGTAAAATGCAGCTTCCTTATGTCCTGCTCTTCAACATATAATGTGATACAGCTTTAAGATCAGACATACTCAACCAGTGAAAGTACCTGTTAATTTACCAGATTCAAGTCTATCCCTTTCTCTTTCAGCCTCTAGTTAACTCCTGAAGCTCTCCTCATGACAGTTTTACCTCAAGGTGTGTCTGCTCCAAGGTGTGTCTGTGTTTACTGATTTTTAACGCATACCAAAGTGACTTTAAATACTCTGTGCTATTGAGAGGGCAGATGGCTGATCATTATGAAGGTAATGGCCTCATTGCAAACTTTAATTCACACAAAGTCATCCATCTTGAGTGTCTGCACACAAGGCATTTCCAACAGTGAACCCCATGGGAGCTTGCTCTATTGTCTGTAATGTAACAAAAAATAAGAAAATCTTATCATCCTAATGATGAGAGAGAGACATGGCTTTTCCCCTCCATGCTATCCAGATCTTAGTGCACAGTGATCCATTTTTGTAGTTGCAAAGCTGGGTTGCTCTTCTGCATTTGCCTTTGGTTTCCTTCATGTTTTTTAAACCAGGCACCACCTTTGGCCACCTGTGGCTAGAAGAGGCTGCCAGGCCTGCCCATCCCATGAGTCCTCCCTATTCCAGAAACTGGGACTGATGCACCTGGGTGATCAAACAGTGCCTCTCAAAGAAAGGGCCACAAGCCAAGCAATGACTTCCAGCAAAACTCAACTTCTGTAACTGTCTCGAGCGAAACCAGAGGGCATGTCAGCACTTTGCTTTTTCCTTCTGAGAAATAGGTGTAAACAATTCCACCCGCATGCCAGGGAGGGCTGAGCAACGCGTGCGGAGACGAACAGATCTAAACAAACAAAAAGGAAAGAAACAAAAAACCCCAAATCGTCGGCGGGGGCAGGACACGAGTCCTTTCGGAGCAAGGATCCCCCGCGGCTGATGTGAGGGCATTCCTGCCCGCTCCTCCCGGGGCGCCAGGGCGGGAGGGCGCATCCGGCGGGGCGTGGGGCGTGGAGGGGGCTGTGGGAGAGTCTGGGGGTGTCAGGCGTTTGGGGGGCATGGGGGGTTGCAGGGTGTAAGGGAGTTTGGAGGGGATGTGGAGGCGTCTAGGGGGATGTGAGAGGTTTGGGGGTGTGAGAGGTTTGGGGCTGAGCGCATTGGGGTCTGCCCGCGCCCCCCGCTCACCTGGGCCCCAGGTGGCACCTGCCCATGAGGTGCTGCTTGCAGAGGTGCAGCCGCTCGCAGCCGTCGCATTCCTTGCGGACGCAGACCCGCGCGTCCGTCACGGCCAGGACCACCTGGCCGCCCTCCAGCAGCAGGAACCGCCGGGGGCCCGCCGCCGACAGCGTGTCCTGCAGCTGCAGCGCCGACAGCCCGACGTTCTCCTGCAGCTCCCGCAGCCCCAGCCGCCCGCCATGGGCGCACAGCGTCTGGGTGAGGAAGCTGGACACGGCCGGATCGCACATCCCGCTCCTCCGCCCGGGACGGGACTGTGGCGGGAGCGGGGCGGGAGCGGGAACAGCAGCAGGAGCGAGGCGGGGACTCGTCACCGCCTCTCGGCCGCGCTGGACGGGAATCGAAACCGAAGGCACGGGCGGGGCAGCGGCTGGGGGCAGGGACCTGCCCAGCATCGAGGCCTTCTTGGCTGAACGTCACGCGGGAAGTAAATAATGCCAGAAGTGCCTGAAAGGACTGTGAGGTTTCCTTGTTATTATCACGGAATCACGGAGTGACTTGGGCTGGAAAGGTCTTAAAGATCATCTCGTTCCGCCCCCTACAGAGTCTCCTTCCACTAGTTGCTCCTGGCCCGGAACACTGCCAAGATGAGGCAGCCACATTTCCCCACCTTGCTAACTTTTGCTTCTACACTAACACGAATCCAGTGCAGAGCATTAAGCATATAAAGCAGGATAAAACACATAACATGCACAAATGACTCTAATACTAGTTTATGTGGCAATGCCATTATTTTTCTTTCTTCCTGGCTGGCAGTGAGCTGCTGATTAGCACTGGTTGCAGTCGAGTGTCATGGCAGGGCTGTGAAGCTGTGCTGGTTTTGGCTGGGGTAGGGTTCATTTTCTCCAAGTGTCTGCTGTGGGGCTGTGTTTTGGATTTGTCCCAAACACAGGAATGATAACAGAGAGAGATGTTTTCATTATTGCCGAGCAGTGCTTGCACAGGCCAAGGTCTTTTCTGCTCCTTGTACTGCCACACTGGGGAGGGGCTGGGGTGCATGGGAAGCTGGGAGGAGGAAGGCTGGGACATTTGGAGTTACAGCATTTGTCATCCCAGCCCATGGTGACATGTGATAGAGCCCGGGTCTCCTGGAGATGGCTGAACACCTGCCTGCCCTTGGGAAGCAGGCAACAAATTCCTTGATTTGCTTTGCTTGTGTGTGTGCAGCCTTTTCTTTCCCTATTACACTGTGTTTATCTCAATCCAGGAGTTTTCCAGCTTTTACCCTTCTGATTCTCTCCCCAGTCCCACTGGTTAGGAGTGAGTGAGTGGCTGCCTGGGCTGGCCCTGGCGGTGGTTAAACCAGGACAGAAGTGCCAGGTTCCTCTTAGTGTTTTAGTAGGGCTGGGGAGGGTCTGTGGGATGGGGAAGAAGCACAGCAAATACTGCCTCAAAAGAGGGTTGAGGATTAAATCCATTTGAGATTAAGTTTTATACTGAAACCCTTTGGAAATGTAAGTTTCAGGGACAGTATCAAGTGCTCCCTCTCGGTCAGGAAGTTAACTTTGAAAATAAAGCGAGTGGCCTGTGTTGCCTATTGCTGATGGCTGATTTGAAAGGCATGTGAAACTACAAAGTCACAGCCACTGTTCAGGTCATGAAGAGAGAACCACCTCCAGGAATAAGGCCAAGGTGGTAGTGCCTGTGGTATGCTGTTTCTTTGTTGTTGAAGGCTATGTAAGAACCTTTTCTTTGGGCATATTTCCCCATATCTCTCCCTTTCCTATGATAATCGAACCAATGAAATGATTTTTAGAAAGCAATAGAAAAGAAGAGGTAGGAGGAGGAGTTTGCCACGTCATAGCTTTAGAGAAGTAAATTGATAGTTCTGGGTTGGTTTATGCTCTAGGTGTGGATATTGGCATTCTCAGGTTGTCAGCAGATCAGGAGGATAATAAAACTCAGATCCATACTTGAGGTAGTTTCAGGACTGACTGATAAGGACAAAAATAATCCAAACATTGAGTCAGCAATATATTACCATCTTTAAACAGTAGATAATAATAATGAATCAGGCAAATTGCACAGAAATTTGCTTATATTTATTTGTCTTTTGTTCTTTATTCATCCAGTTCCAGTGAAAACATACATTTCTGCATTAATCCATCCAGAAATCTGAACTACTGGCCTGAGGAGTTTTGCTGCATATTTTGTTGGAACAATATTAACAGTATGGAGCAGTAAAGTGAAGCACTGCAAGCAGAAAGAAACCACAAATGCAGTCTTGGCAAGCAGGTTCTATTCTCCACTTAAATACATTCAAGAAGGCTTTTGGATCAGGCCTGAGTAAAAGCAAACAATGAAACTCTGCTGGATTTATCCTGTTTGTTACTATGTTTTGCAAATGCAAATGCCCAAATGCTTCCTTAGCAACTTTAAACAGAACCAATTTGTGTGAAACAACACAACTGGGTGAGGCAAAAGGGATCACTGTATGAAAGAGTCCCAAAATGGTGTTATTTTCATGGTGATTCCAACCTCAAGTATCAAGCCCTTTGCTTAAAGTTAGAAACCAGTGTGGCTGGACTGCTGTAACCTCTTGGTACCCTGTAAATCTTTCTGTCTGGTGTCCTCCACTTGCAGCTGTAGTATTTCCTGATTTGCCCTGACTCTGGTGTTCAGCTGACTTTGTAGTAAACAAAATCAGCTTTCAGAGATTTGAGACCGCAATATTGATTGGAACGAGCAAAGTATGAATGGAAGTGGCTGTGTGCAAGCACCAGAAGAAACAGCAGAGAAAAGGTTAAAATAATGACCTGTGTTCAATAACCAAAAGCACAGCTTCAGGCAGTAAAATTGAGAAATGAATTGTTTTTCTCCAAGTGGAAGTTTTGCATTCTGTAGTATAGACAACTTGTCACCAGAAAATCCTACATTCGTACCATCTGACATGCTGGACAGGAAGATACAGCACATCACCAATAACATTTATTTCCTGTTGGTTCAACTGGGAGCAGACCACAGAACGTGGAAACACCGAAAATGACCAAAGAAGTTCCATGATGTGCATGGAGGCAGCAGCAGCCAGACTGTGAAGCACAAGGATGCCACCACAGCCAGTGCTGGGTCCCATAAGCTTTCACAGGCAGTTTTCCCCTGCCAGTGGAAAACAACACAAGCAATAACAAAAGGGTGTGATGGTTGGTGCCCATCTTCCCTTTTGTTACATGCAACATGGATCCTGGTGAAACCAGCACCCCTCTGAGGCTGTGAGTATGGGGATTTGACAGTGTGAGCAGAGTTGGATAAATGGAATGAATGTGAATGAAAGCTGGGGAACTGAGTGAAATGAATGCATATATAAAATATATGTATACGTAAATGCAACTTCTGCAGGGTGCAGATGGAGTTTGAAAAATATGTGCCTTGTCTGATGTATCTGCAGTGGAAGCACAGGATGTGGTCACATCTGGATTCTGTGGAACAGCCTGCCCTGTGTGAAGTAGAGGCCATTCCTGCTCTAAGGTTGGTGCAGCCCAGCTACCCTGGTGGCTCTGAGGGCATCAGCAGTTTTTCCCTGCGGGGGATAAATAAAGTATGCAGAAACACCCTGGAGTGATGCCGTCAAACCGGCTTTCCCTCTTTTTTTCTAGCAACTTCTTCCTCTTAATCCTGACGGCGTCTTCAGAGCTGAGCGAGGCGGGATGAAGTTCGTTTCTTCTGATGAGTGAGCAATGAATTCTTTTTCTCTGAAAGACTCAGGTGTCCTGTGGCTGCTATCTCAGTGAGAGTACCTCATTCCTCTCTTTTAAAAAAAGTATCTTGCATTGCATAGTTTCTATCTTAACATTATGTTAGAACCTAAAACTATATTTAACACACTCCTTAATAGAATTAACACAGCATTACTTTCTAACACAACACATATAATATTCATTTTAATATTTGCAAAAAGACAATAATAAAATATCTATTTTCCACACTCCTCTCTTTCACCCCTAAAATCCCCCGGCAGGATGCAGAACATGCGGGGGGAATCGATGGGAACCACAACGGGCTGGGGTTTGGGGGTGCCCCGGCATTTCGGGTTTCCATAATTTTGGAGGCTCCCTCATCTCTTTTGGCGGGTCTTAAATAATTCTTGGGGTGCCGCAGTCATTTGCGGGGAGGGCTCGCTTAATTTTGGGCAGCTCCCCTGTCATTTTGGGGGCATTCCCGATCATTTTTGAGGAGTCTCAGACACAGCGGCCGTGCTTTACGGCAGCGCGGCGGGGCCGTGGCTGGGCTGTACGGCAGTGTGGCGCCGTGAGGGGGCAACGCGCTTTGCGGCAGTGCGGTGATCCAGGTGGTTACCGCCCAAAAATCCCTGAAAATTCATAAATTCTTAGGGAGGGTGTGCGTGTAAAAATGCTATATCCTGTTAAGTTTCTCGTTTATATATATATGAACACGTAATAATAATAATTTATATTAAAACTGATTTAAAAATACCACCCCCCCCCCACACACACCCCCCGTACCTGTCATATTACATGCAAATTTTTAGAACATAAGAACTCCTTAAAAGATCCATAAGGCTGGAAAAGGCAAAACTTTTCTATGTATAAGTGAAACTAGAATTAAGGGCTTGAAAATGTGAGAATTTGTGAAGGAAATAGAAGTAGCTCTGTGGTGAGGCAGGGGAGGAGCAGAGCAATTGCTGAGCGTCATGACGGGAAAATTGAGGTGATCTGTAGGAGGCAGGTAGGGAAAATTTGGGAGATAAAGGTTGTGTTGTAGAAAATGAATATTTTGAGATGAAAACAAGGTAGTAGTGGAAAAGTGGGGAAGGTTTGGGTGGTAAAATTTGATGTAATCTCTTGGGGAAAGAATGAAGGTAAAAATGAAGTTCTTAGTAGAGGACATTTTGGGGGTAAAAATTGAGAGAGACTGGGAAAATTGTGGTGGTAAAAGTTGAGCTAATCTGTAAGGGACAGAATAAATTTATTTTGGGGGATAAAAGCTAAACTAATCTAGCTAAACTGCAGGGCACATAATGAATACTTTGGAAGGACAATCTGATCTAACCTGTAGAGGATATTTTGAAGAAAGATAGAGACAAGTGACATTTTGAGGGTAAATTTAAGGTTATTTTTAGGGGGCAGATAGGGAGAACCTAGGGGTAAAACCTGAGGAAATCTGTAAGGCACAGAATGAACTGGTTTTTTTGTAAAAGTGAGGTAACCTATAAGGGACAGAATGAACACCTTGGGTTTAATATGTCAGGTAGTCAGTAGGGGATGGAGGTAAAATTGGAGTAATCAGTA